CTCTCTCTCTCTCTCTCTCTCTCTCTCTCTCTCTCTCTCTCTCTCTCTTTCTTCTCTCTTCACCCCCGCCCGTTCTCCTCGTCTCCTCTTCATCTTGCTTCTCCCGTTTCCCGAATTATCCTCCCCCATTGAAGCTGTGGAGAATAATTATCCGCTGTAGGCTTACGGATAAAAGACCGGCATTGAAAACCATCCCTTTCGCCCATCCTCTTGCCATTCTACTTTCTGTTATCCCCGTAAATCAAGGTAATTTCGTAGTGTGAACGCTTGTTATGGCAGCTTGTCGACCATTGATCGCGACGAGGATTGTAGTTAGTTTCGCTTCAATCGAAACGGTTATTATTTGTTTCCTTTTATTTATTTATTTTTTTCGTTTCTCTTCTTCTTCTTCTTCCTCTTCCTCTTTTTCTTCTTATTAGTTTTACGAATTCTTTAAATATTTCGTTTTTTTTTGTAAATACGAAAAAATAAATATATATATATATTAACGAACAAATACAATTTAGAAATAATTAAATAATTTCTACTATTTATAAAATAATATACGCGATATTTTTCAAGCAATTATTTTTGAAACTCAAGTTATATAAAGATGGAAAAATTCGTTTACAGGTAAAATGAGATTTGAAAGGGTAGATAGTGAATAAATTGGATATGAATCTTGGAATAGTTACACTAAATAGGATTTAACCTTGCGGTGGGACTTCAAATGGAACACTTGTTCATTAAGGAGGTTGAAGCCGCGTTTGAATAATAAGTAGCGAGTTAAAATTAGAGTTAGGAAAGCGAGCTGTATTTTAATTTTCCATGATCCGAATGAGTTAACGAGCGTTAGAATTTCATTAAAATTTAATAAGATCGTTCGTTTTAAATGAATGGGAAAGTCGATCGAATCGTTCTATCATCAGTTTTGTTTTTCGTTTCACAGATGGTCTTAACAAGAAAAAGAAAAGGAAAATAGGGGGGATAGGAAACATTTTCTCCGGAGTCTCTGTCTCGCAACTTATGGCACAACGTGAAAGAGCTATTGTTACGGCAGCTGGGGTGCAAGGATCGCCAGTGCCAAATGGATCGCAGGTAATCGACAAAATTGATAAGAGATAATTATATCGATATATATTTTTTTTGCAATTACGACGAAAATTGTTACATACGAATATTGTTGATATTTTTAGGTATGGCCAATCGCGATACCCAATTTGCAAGTTCAACAGAGCAACCAACAAATCTGTCATCAGACGCTGAATTCACCTTCGCAAACTCAAGATATTAACGGCTGTGCAACCAGAAATCCTCAGCAAAGGTTAGGTCAGCATAATATGTCCGGGATGTTAATGGGAAATTCGCTGATAATGAATCAGCAGGGCACTAATTTCAACAACATGAGTCAACAGCAGCAACAACTGCTGCAACAACAGCATCAACAGCTTATATTACAGCAACAACAGCAACAGCAACAGCAACAACTTATGCAACAGCACATGTCCCAGCAGCAACAGCAACAACAGCAACCACCGCAACAGTTGATGTCTCATCATCAGCAGATGCAACACATGCAAATTTTACAGCAACACGAGCAGCAACATCAAAATACGGTTGTGAATCAATTAACGCAACAACAAGCTCCCCATTATCTCAATCAATTGAATCAGCAACCGTTACACATAATGCAGCAACAGGAACATTTGAATCAACAGCAACAGCAACAACAGCAATTGCACATGCAACAAATGCAAAAACACAAAATGCAGCAGCAACAGCAGCAGCAGCAACAACAACAACAACAACAACAATCGCACCTGACTCAAGAAGTTGACCAATCGGGCAATTATCCTCAACATTCGTCGGAGAATTACGCGCATCACATGCAATCCTCGCAAGTGACGGGTCAGGCTAGTCTTCATCCGCAGTTGCACCAAATTCATCAACATCAATTGCAGCAGCAAACGCAGCAGCATCAACCTAATCAACATGTGATGCAGGCATCGGCGGATCATTTTCAAATGCAGATACAACAGTTACAACAACAGCAACAGCATCAGCATCAACAAGTACCTCAGGTGTGCGTGCAACCTCAGTATCCTAATCAACAGTTGAATCACCATTCGTTGGATGTGATGCAACAACAAACTTCTGGTTCTGTAATGAATACCGCTGACATGCAGAATAGATTGAATCGTACGCCTTCCGTGACGGATGAGGAAATGAACGCGAAACAGATGCAACAACAACAGCAACAGCAGCAGCAACAACAGCAACAACAGCAGCAGCAACAACAACTTTTGTTGCACAATCACGCGGTACAACGGCACCATGTCGTACAAAATGGAAACTTGTCGAATAATTCGCACGAAAATATGCAACGAATGTATACTCAGAATCAAGTTCAATATCCTGTGAGAAATTTCGACGGTTCGAAAGGGACTGTCGTAGATGTGAAACATCAGCAACAATACGCTTTATCGAACGTAGCGGGAAGGAGCCCGAATACCAATCACGGTGTCGAGGCACAGTCTGGAATGGGACCAAACCCGGGCCAACCCGGTAACGTGCATTTCAACTCGAGGACACCACCTTGGCAGCAAAATCGGTCAGCTTCGGCCTCTCATCAACCTTCTCTCGTCACGGTCCAGAACATCACGTGCAACTCGTTCGATCGTGTCCCACCCCTGCATCATCACATTCCACAAGCGTCCACTTGGACCGACGAAGTGGCGCGAAAGAAGGCCAAGTCTGGCAAGATAATCGTGAAGAAACAACGACAGCACAGCGTGACGGACGTTCGAAGTAACAGTCTCGATCAATCGGCTTCGAGTCCGATCGACGAGTTCAACGAGAAAAATCAACAGCAGAACAACAATCAAATAGGATCGACCGTTAACAGCAGCGGTCCCTCGTTCCTCGAAGATCCGAGCGGTTACCTGGCACAGCAGACCGCGTTGTTGAACAGCACGATATCGAGGCAAACCGGTGTCAGTAGTTCCCAAGTGGGAATCACTAATAATTCGAAACCACCGCAAACGAGTCACGGATCGCATTTGCCCAACAACAGTTATCTTCCACAACCAAAGCCTTCCTCCGGCGCTAGCCCTACCAGCACGTCGACCTTCAATTCGGTGAAGAATCACGCCACCTCGCCTGTGGTCGTGCACAGTAGCATGACGCCGACTTCGAGCGGTGGTGGTGGAACAGATTCGGAGAGTAGCCCTTGCCAAGGTTGCGTTACCAGTGCCGATACTCAATCCTACGTTCAGGATCAATACAAACAACAAATGCAACGCCAGTACCTGATGCATTCAGATCAACGGGAGGATCCTGTCACGTCGTCAACGTTCGGTGAACAGTATCAGAACAATCAACAGCAAGCCGACTCGAGGCCGATCCAAGGTGGTACCGTGAGCACCAGCCATGGCTCGCCTATCGGCACCAACAGTCCAGCGAATTCGGACACGCCAGCTTCGTCGACACCCGGTATATCGCAGCCGGCCACGCCTCAAAGTCTCATTTCGTCTCAACCGTCGACGCCCCATAGTTACTCGCAACCGCCTACACCTCATTCGCATTCTACTTCCTCTGGTCAGGTGCCATCTCAACCGTTAACGCCCCAGGCTCAACAACCCTCGCAATCCTCGATGAGCAGCGTTGGGCAAGAGCAACGCGCGGAAACGCCTTGCTCCGCCGCAACGAGTTCAAACGTTGTAGTTCCTTCTAGCACGCCCTCGTCGCAAACATCAAGTTCCGCTACGGACGGTATGTCGTCCCAGATGGCGAAGAGGCAGACAACCAGGCAGTCGTCCTTGGACGGTTATCAGCCCCATCCCCATACCGTAAACGCCGTCTCGAGAGTGCCGATCAATCATTTCGCGGGTACGTCGTCGGTGATAACCACGATGGCGAGTGGTCATACAGTTAGCAGTAACACCATCACCTCTGTGCTGGCTGGAAGAGCGAATACCGCCACTGTGTCAATAAACACGCCTTCTGGAATACCGAATCCAGCCATACCCGATATACTTTCGAACAAACCTCAGCATCAAGCGTCCTCGACGACCTTGACGAATGTACCGACCACCGTCGTTCCCACGACCTCGTCCCTTCCGAATAGTCAAGCGTCGATAGCGATAAGCGTCTCGAAGTCGCCGTTGGAGATGGTTCAGAGCGTCGTGAGTAGCATACAAGTACCTCAGGCCAGTACCAATTCACCAGCGCAACCGCAGAATCAACAACAACAGCAGCAACAGCAGCAGCAACAACAACAGCAACCGACTCAACAGCATCCTCAGTCCAACGTGCAAGTTCACAACGTTCTCACGTCCGGCGGGATACTGAAACATCCTGCCGGATCCACTCTACCTCCTGGACACATACTAGTGTCGAACGGCGGCCAACTAATAATGGCTAGCACGGGGTCGGGAATCAACGGTGTCATGGCACCGCCGCCTCCGAAAATCATTTCCAACTCGAACTCTATGCCACCTTTGTCGGTGTCCCCTATGGTGACCAGCGTGACGGGAGCTGTTAGTCAAGTGATCCCAGCTGTGGGCGTTGCGCAGCAAGTTATCGGGCAACCAACGGTGCTCGTCAACACTATACAAACCCCTGTCCTTATCCAACCCGGTGTCATGACGATGGACAGCATAGGCCAAAACGTTCAGATACCGCATCTAACGGTCGCAACCGGGAACGTGATACAGAATGCTCAGTCGATCCTGGACGCGAATCAGGACGTTGCGAGAAGCGTGAGCGCGAATCAAGGAATGGTGAACCGGCAACCGGCGTTACTCTCTCCCGAATCGGCAATGAGCAAGAAGAAGGCGTACAAGAAACGAAAGGCGAATCCGCAAACAGTGGCCTCGATGTTGCACATCGCCTCGTCCCAACAGAACGCGGGCATGCTGATGCAATCGCAGTCGAACTTCGCGCAGCAGAACTTCCAAACTCAGAGCATAGGCGGGCCGATGTTGCAAGCGTTGACCATCGTTCCTGGAAAGGGTGGAGCCCCGGCTCAGTTGGTGATGAACGGGCAGGCTGGCGCAACGTCGGCGCAGTTCAACGCTCAACAAATCATCACGAATCCCCAACCGGCTCAGCAAATAAATCTTCTGCAACCGGTGAATTTGTTGAACGGCGCTGCTGGTATGGTGCAAAATTTCCCCACCATACAACAGTTCATCGTACCTGGTATAGGGAGTATGGTGATGTCCGCGGATGGGACGGCTACCTTGCTCCAGGACACGGGAAATATCGGTATGCAGCTGCAGATCCAGAACGTGAACGGTCAGAACGTGTTGACCCCGGTTCAGAGCCACAGCGGAATATTCAATCCGAGTCAGAGCATTCTGGCAGCTGGTCCTGCTGGAATGGTGATTCGGGCGCCGCAAGCCACCGGAGGGAAAATAATTCAACAGCACAGCCCTGGCGCCCAATTCCTCTCGCCGAACAGCGGACAATTTTTGGTGAATGGAACCACGTCGTTTGGGAATCAATTGAGCCCGATAGTGGCGAACGTGAGCCCGAATCAGCAAGTGACTTTCAACGCATCGCAGGTACGACCGACAAACATGCAGGGCCAGCAGGAATTCATACAGATGAACGGGCAGACGTTGATGGTACCTTGCGGGACCGCGCAAAATATCGCCGTTTCGTCGGCCCCCAATCAACAGAACACGACGTTCGTTCAACAGAACACCACGATCGTCCAGCAACAGACGACCATGGTATCTAACAATCAGATACCTAATTTTCAAGCTGCGGCTTCTAACGGAACCACGGTCGATCCTTCCTTAAATATCGATCACAATCAATCGTACATCTTGAGTTCTGGAATGATTCAAGGAAAGGCGCCCACTTCTCCTAAAAGTAGCGTGAATTCGCCCTCCTCGGAGCAAAACGTTGAACAACAGCAGTACGTTCTTGCGAGCAGCAGCACGACCGTGGTCGAGAAAACAGGTCAACAGAGCGATCAACACAGTCCTTTGATGGCAAGACACTCGGTGTCCACCCAGACAGCTGGGAATCAAGCGAATATGGCTCAGTCGGCTATGATGAGGCAAGGATCACCGCCTGACACTACCACCCACAGCCCGGGAAATAGCCAAAGGTCGAACAGTCCCGCTGTGGACACTACGACGCACGGAGCGGCCTCACCTGCACCACCGATCACAGCTAGACATCATTCGTCGTCCACGGTAATATTGCGAATCGTTCGATTCTTAAATTAATTAATTGTTATTGATAAGTACGTTGTCTCGAAAAGGAAAAGTATTTTTAATTCCATTCGATGAAATGATCGATTATACGATTAAATTTGCGTTTCCAGCCGATGGTTCATTGCGTGTCGAGTAGCGAACCGGACTCGGGCGACGTTCCAGTGGCGTCTGAAGATTGGAGGATTCAGGGTATCACGACGAAAGAGATCACGCTTAGTCAACCGGGTCTCCATGGAAAAACGTACGTGGAGTCGACGGTTACTACTGGGATCCAGGTTGGTACCCAAGTAGATCAGGTCAACCGTCATCTAACTCTAACAGACATGCACCAGCCGGCCGATACGACACATGATGAAAACACATACGCTGACTCACAGGAGCATATGGACACATCATCACCAAATCATTCCATATATTCAGACACAATGGACCAATCCCCCTCCGAAGATCAGCTAGCAAGCGCCACTAAAGATAATATGGCCGACTTCTCTTATAGAGAGGTGGAAGTAAATACATTGCCGGTCGTAGGTCACGGTCATTATCAGCCGATCCTCTATCACAATCAGCAATATGTTCCCAATACGAACGTTTATCGACAGCAAACTTTAGTGCCAGACCATGCGCATTGCTCTTCCATGTTGTCTCAAAAGTTCGTGACGAAATCTTGCGCCGTGCCCGAACAGAACGATCCGCAACAAAATTCGCAACGCGTTGCGGGCCAACACGACGATATCCATCAAAATTCCACGGATAAGCATTTGGAGGGTCAAAGCCTCGGTATACCTTATTGCCCGGACAATTGCGAGAGTTATCAGAAATTTGTAAATATCGGTATCGCCGCGCCCTCAGGACTTTATCCTCATTTGTACAATTATAGGTCTGATCCTAATAGCATTGCTGTCGTGAACTACTCGCCCAATAAGCAGGCCTATATCAATCCATACATTTACAATCAATTCGTGTATGCGCAAGAGGGTGACGATGGTGAGGACACTGACTCATCGTCCGAGGATTGAGCACATCTTTCTTTCGTACGAGTCGATTCGATTAGTTTTGTACATTTTAAATTAACTATACTTACATTTTCTGTGGCATTCCCTTTTTCGCAAAGGGCACGATTACGCGTTTCTGATCGATATCTATTAAGTTTGTAATTAGTTTGTATTTAAAAAACGTTATTGAGTTTTTTTTTTTTACGCGCAGAATAATAATACCTTCCCGTGGGCCGAGCTCTCGATGCCCTCTCAGCTCGGTTTTCTTTGGAATTATTATTTAAAAAAGAAAAAAGAAAACGTAAATTGCAATAATGTAACTTGTATGAACAAACGTGTGTTAACGAATTTTTAAGAAAAACATTGAAAAAAAAGAAAAAAAGAAAAAAATTAAACACGATTCTTTATAATGGCAAATAGAGAGAAAAAATAAATTTTTGCTAAACAATATCGATCTCTTGATAGAAATTATCTGACATTACATTATTCCTAAATAATATTCAATTGCAAAGGAAAGAAAAAAAAAAATACCTTGCAATGAGCATGCGTAATCAGAGTTTGGATTTTGTCACCTTGGTATCATTTCTCGTTTGCATGCCTCGACGAATGAAAATTTTGAACGTGCCATATATTTATAATTCGGCCATTTATAGCGTAGAAAACGTAAGTTTTCTATAAACAGTAGCACACTTTGAACTCTCATCTGTCTAAAATCATTTTCATACGAGTGTCATTCCAATTCTTTTAAAATTTTCTTTTCGTGTAGTTTGTTCTCTTTCTTTTTTTTTTTTTTTTTCTTTTTCATTTCATATAACCGTTCTCTGTTCACTTATGTTTCTCACGCTCGGTCGAAGAATGATGAGAATCTTGCCGGAGAAAGAGAGAGAGAGAGAGAGAGAGAGAGAGAGAGAGAGAGAGAGAGAGAGAGAGAGAGAGAGAGAGAGAGAGAGAGAGAGAGAGAGAGAGAGAGAG